CTGAAAGTGACATTGTATATTGATGTGGCAGTTAATCTTTAAAAAAAAAAAAAACTAATTTTTGAATTTATTTTAATAATTATAAATAACTTTTTTTTTTTTAAAGCCAACCCTCCTCTTTAAAAAAAAATATTTTATTTATTATTAAAATAGATTTAAAAAATTAAAATTTTAAAGACTAATCTCCCACTTTTAATTGTTTATTTATCATTAATTCTATATATATATATATATATATATATATATATATATATATATATATATATATATATATATATATCATTGTTGCAAAAATCGCACCTAGGCGCCGATTAATCGGCACCTAGGCGCTAAGCGCCCGGCCTTCTAGGCGCCCTAGGCGGTCCCCAAGCGCCTAGAGGGCGCCTAGCGATTTTTTCAACATTGATATATATATATATATATATATATATATATATATATATATATATATATATATATGCTTTTTAGTACTTTGTTATTATTATTATTATTGTGTCATCCCATGCATCAATGATTGCATCTGCACTCACGTTTTTCTCCAACTTCCCCATAGTGTGATCGAGTCTATGATCATTACATGTTTGCTCATCATCATACTTTCTTGTCTTTTATCAGCCACAATTAGCCTTGTCATCATTATTGACTCATGCTATCTTCAGTTATGATTCACAAACCCAGTATCAACCAATCTTTTAATTCCTTTGCATTTTCAAGAATGAATGATGATAGATAGAACTCATACCATAAAGGTTGCAATTTCAATTAATTTCTAATATAACTTGCTAAGTACTTCTAGTTTCTTTAATTTGTGTATATGGAAGCTGTGTATTCAATACTCAAAATAAACAGAGGCTACCTCTTATATAGAGGCTAGAAGCAGAAAATACAGGAACAGTTATAACCAACCTAAAAATAATAAAGGAAACAGAACACCAAAAAAGAAATTGAATAAAACTGCTAGGACGACTTATTCTTTCACAGTGTAATCCCACTTAGCAAATAAATATTGAAGTTTACTCTTGCAAAAGATTATAATCTTGATAGATTTAGCCTTGGTACAATGATAAAAGCAAATTAACATTATTGTTTTTAATGGATATTATATATGGAGTAATGATTTTTGTAGAGGTTGCAGTTTTTTTTTTTTTTTTTTTTTTTTTCTTCGTATTCAAAGCGGCAGTATCGAATTACACTTTTGTGTAGCAGTCACGAACTTTTCTGTAGATTAAACAATTGAATCAGAATAAGTTAATCTGGCGTCTCATTCAAATTCAATACTTATATAAAGAGTTAATTACCGATTTGGTCCCTCGACTATGAAGATTTCACTAATCTGGTCCTCGACTCTCAAAATTCATCAATTTAGTTCCCCACTATGCTTTTTTTTTTTTAACCCGAAATAGTACTAACCGCTAGACATCCGTTATCTTGGACCAAATTAGTAATTTCGCTATAGTCAATGGACCATTTCGATCATCACATGCATCATTTTCTCCGAAAGTTAATTACTGAAATGGTCCATTGACTATAGAAAAATTACCAATTTGGTCCCAAGATAACAGACGTCTAACAATTAGGACTATTTCGAAAACTAAATTGAAAAATTTTAAAAGTCGAATACCAGATTAATAAAATCTTCATAGTCGAGGGATGAAATCGGTAATTAACTCCTTATATAAATGAGTTAACAAAACTCAACCCACAGACAAAAGTCACAAAACCAAGAAGCCTCTACCTAGTGAAAAACAACCAAGTAATTAACCAAAATAAAAAAACAAAACATGAAACGACGTATGACGATGTGTAACGATGCGTCGTCACGAGCCGCAGAAGACGAGGACCACAGAGAGAGAGAGAGGGTGGCAGACTTGAGCATGCGCTATATATTTCTACTACTTTCTTGTCTTTTTCTCTGTTTTGATTTCAAGTAAAAATTAAAAAAGAAAAGAGAGAAAATGCATGCATGCATGCAAATATGCAATCCGTCCAAAAAGTGGCAGGGTTGAAGGACGTGTGGTGCTTATGAGAAACGGTCTCTTTTGTTGGTTACTTTGCCAATGAAAACATGCATCACAAGAGGTAGTGGTTGTTCACGTGTCTGTTCTTGCAGTATAGTTTGGTTTTCACCCATTGGGACATCATCATCTGTATCGAAATGGAAAACACTCTACGTTTGTTGTTTTTTGTAAAAATTAATGTATGTTGTTTTGATGGATTCTTGGTTTTTCGGTGGGTTGGGTAGGTATGTAGGGTGTCCAATTTCGGCCCACTCAGGGTGGGCTAATTAAGAACAACTTAATTGTGTGGTTCTCAAAACCAATTGGTTGATGATATCCTTTTTTGGGCTGCAACAGTGTGGGCAATGTGAAGCACACAAGGTGGGCAAAAACACTTCACACAGCATAACAACACGTGGACCGTAGTCGCTTAGATTTGAACCCATGACCTTTGGTCTAGTTCTTATACTAAATTCAAACATGTGCTCTATCTCAACTAAAAGCCTAAGCTGGTAGTTGGATTGCACATCAATGACTTTATGCTCAACATAGATTAGTGGGGTTCGAGTCTTATTACGAATATTGAAGATTTAAGTTTGAATTCAATTTTTCGTGCGCAAAAGTGTATAGTGATTTACCTTATCGTAGGTTTAGGGGCGAGTTGATGGGGTTACGGGCTGGTTGAATGGTTTTGGATATTTGATACATGACCTTGCTGCTGGAATTTTTATTTTTATTTTTTAATATGATATGTTTTTTTTTTCCCATAAAAAAATGTTAATGTGTGATGACATGGGGATGGCTTGTGATGTTGGATTTCTAATATAGATGACGAGAGAAATTTACAGTCACTATCTAAAGGTGCGTGCACTAATAAATCTAGTCTTCATATAATAGCACGCAAATCAGAAGCAAATCGCACTAGAAAGACAAGTACACTGCGAGGGTGTTGGTAAGAATCAAACTTGTTAGCTGGTGCGAAAATCGTGTTACATTCACTTCACTACCCCTTTGTGGGCATAACCTTAAAGTTGTTAAGTTCACTAAATTGGTTTAGGTTATGTTGTTCTGCTACATTTTATTATTATTATTATTATTATTATTATTATTATATATATATATATATATATATATATATATATATATATATATATATATATATATATATATATATATATATATATATATATATATTTTTTTTTTTTTTTTTTTTTTTTTGTTGCTTGACATGGTGATTTTGACTTAATTTATCTTGAGATTATGCTAACCTATGATTATATTGAGATCGTGAGCTTAATTCTTAAGTGAATGTTGGATTTTATAGTGCAGAGTTTGGACTCTGCTGGAATTGTTTTTCTTTTATTCACTACATCTTTTTATTTTCAATTTGCCTAACTTTTTTGGGTCTGGCCCCTTAATTATATAACATTATAGACTGAATGTGGAACATCATAGATAATCCAGGGGCTGAATATGAAACATTGTATACCTATAATTGATGGACTAAATTTATTTAAATTGTTTTTAGGATTAAAAGAGAAATGCATTAATAAAGGTCCGTAGACAAAGAGTTGACAATGAAAGAAGGCGGGGAATCAATCCACACCTTACGCTCAGTCATAGAAAGGGATTCCCTTGTTAATAAGTGGGCAATCCGATTCGCTGAACGCTTAACGAAAGAGATAGTAATATCGGAAAGAGAAGAAAGTAAAGCTTTTACATCTAATAAAATAAGATCAAAATGGGACTCATAGCATGGTTCAGTAAGGCCCTGAGTGACCAACAGTGCGTCTGTTTCTCGATGGCACTGAGAAATGTGGTTATCCTTGAGCCAGCTAAGGGCCTCACGTACTGCAATCGCTTCAGCCTCCTTAACCGTGAATAAACAATTTATTTAAATTGTTAAACATGATCATAAGTGAAATTTTCTTATATTTAAATATTAATGTCAAACGAACTCTCTATTCATGCACATTTGAATATAATGAATGGTAATTTACTTATCCAAACTCACTATGACAGTGAACTAGATATAACAGTCAACAGTCAACTATATGTAACAACTCAACTTGTTTATCTCTTTATAATCTTTTGCTGATTAGGATTACAAGACAGGTTTTGCCTAAGAGCATCCGCATCAGTTGGGAAGATTTAGGGGAAAATGTAAGAGTGATTAGGAAAGAGAATGTGGGAAGGGGAGGAAAAAAAAAACAAAAAAAAAAAACAAAAAAAACAAAAAACTGAATTTAAAAACAAAAAGAAACAATGCGTGTCAGTGCGCCTGACGCACCACCGGGCGCGTGCAAAAAAAAGCACGCGCCCGTGTGGCCACATGCTGTGCGCGAAACGCGCACAGCAGGTGATAATTTTTTTTAAAAAAATACTGTTCCAATATGTCGATAGTTGCAGACGAACCCCAAACCCTCTCTCTCCATTCTCTCTCCCCTCCATATCTCCATTTACTGTTCTAAAAGCTCCATATAATGCGTTGATGGTGATGCTCTAAAGCACCTTTACTGGTTTGGGTCACAAGACAAACGTTATTCAAAGTGTATTTTTGAATTGCAACTGCGAACTTTTTCTTAAATCAAATAACATTAATAATAGATAAAAAACTATAACTTCAAACATTGCAAATTTTTGAACCAATAAGAAAAGAAGTATCAATTTTGTTGTGTGTGTTTTTTCATTCTAGAAACAGATCAAAGCACATACTCACATCATATATATAGTGATGCAACAGATAACATTTTAATTTACGAACAAACTTGCAATTATTACTTAAAATTTGCTTTGGAACATTTGTATAGTTTGTCTACAATTTCAATTTTGGTTGAATGTACAAAACCTCATTAATCATCATTTCTGCTTTGAGGATTTGAGGCCTCTCCGAATCAAACCGGGACGACTGACTGCCATCTCCATCATATTCGCCGGAGAACAATTGGCCGGAAAATCAAGAAAACAAAAGAAAAGAAAAGTTTCGCTTGCCGGTCATTGGGCGATTCAGTAGCTCAGCAAGTCGAGTTTTCGCCGCGCAAGAGCGGCCGCGACTCGGGGAATAGTTCTAGGCCGTTTCGGATTCCGGCGTGGCAATATCTCTGGAAATCCTCGAAACGGGCGGCGGCGATCTTGCCGGGATCGGACCGGGCGGCGAGGTGCCGGAGGATTTCTTCGAAAACCGACTCGTCGCAGGGAATGGCCAACGGGCCGGCGGCGGCGGCGAAGCCGTACTCTTCCTCCGCCAGTGACAGAAGCTTCGCGAAGATGGGGTGGTTCAGATACGTCGCGCGCACCACGAATCTCCGGCGACTGCTCCCCACCGTCACCGCCACGTGCCCCGCCGGCACGTCGGACGGTACGCGGCTGCTGCGGCTGCGGGTGGCGGCCGCGGCCGCCTTCCTCCGCCACCGCCGGAGCATTTGGCGGAGCTTGACAATGTGCCGGATTTTGCTGCACGCCAACATCTTTTTTTTTTTATTTCGAGAAAATTAAGGAAAGAAATCCACTCCGACCAAAGGCGTTTTCCTCGTACGATGTCTTGCCTTTGACAGTTCAGTGTTCGGATGCTACTATATGTGTGGGTTTATATAACGGTAGAGTTCGTTACGGTTTCAGTATTATAAAGTTTTATCTAAAATAATAATATTGCCTTTTCCTATTTTATTACCTTATATATATATATATATATATATATATATATATATATATATATATATATATATATAAGGCAAATTATGCCCTGGACCCGTGTCCACATTGAATTGTGGACACGGGCCCAAAACGACGTTGTTTTTAAAAAAAAACGCGTCATTTAGTTAAAAAAAAAAATTGCGCGCGTTTTGCCGTTAACGGCGTTATTTTTTTTTTTTGATTATGAATGTACAGTTATGCCGTTATGAATGTACAGTTATGCCGTTATGAATATACAGTTATGCAATTATGAAATTATGAACACAGAGCTCTAACATTATGAACTTACAATTATGAACATATATAGTGATAAAATTATGACCATGGAGCTTTAAAATTGTGAATATAGAGCTTCGAAGATTATGAATATACAGTTATGGAGTTATGAATGTACAGTTATAGAGTTATGAATCTACAGTTACGGAGTTATGAATCTACAGTTATGAGATTATGAATCTACAGTATGGAATTATGAATGTACAGTTATTGATCAAATTATGAACAAAGAGCTCTAACATTATGAACTTACAATTATGAACATATAGTGATAAAATTATGAACATAGAGCTCTAAAATTGTGAACATAGAGCTTCGAAAATTATGAATGTACAATTATGGAGTTATGAATGTACAGTTATGGAGTTATGAATGTACAGCTATAGAGTTATGAACGTACAGTTATGGAGTTATGAATGTATAGTTATTAACATATAGTAATAAAATTATGAACATATACTCTTACAATGAAGCGGTCTGAAATTAAAAAAAAAAAAAAAAAAAAAAAAAAAAAAAAAAAAAAAAAAGGAGTTAACAGTGCCTAACGGCACTGTTACCCGTGTCCAACAAGCATGCTGGACACGGTCCAACGCATAACGATTGTATATATAAAAGGTGGGCCGTGGGCCGAGCAAAGGTAGGGCCCAATAAATCAGGTCAAGTCCATGAGTTAAAGTTGATATATAAACTGGCTCCAACTTTTATACTGAGTCAGTAGTACTAAAAAAAAAAAAACATTTGTTATTATCACTTTCATCGTCACATTAGTACTCGATAGGGTTTTGTGAACACCTTCTTATCTGTGTACTTAATCGAATGGGTGAAGGAGACCTATTTACTCGATAAACGCTTTTCTTTTAGGTAGATAAGTAACTATAACATGTTGTTTTGTTGCAAGGAGAAAATTAGGGGAGAGAGAATTGTAATAAGAGAAAATTACATTTTTGGTCCTATGACTATAGGGGGCATGTTAATTTCGGTCCGTGACTTTTAAAACTAACACTTTAGTCCTTTAACTACGTTTTTTTTAGCAGATTTGGTCCTCCCTACCAAATCGCCAGCCAAATGTTGCCGGAAAAACATAATTCCCTTTAAAAAAATTATTCATGGGGGCAAAATGGTCATTTAAACCATTTTTTAATTAAAAAAAAAAAAAACAGCCATTTCTTCTTCTTGCTGCACTTGCGGAAACGGAAACATGGATACCAACGGCGGCGACAATATCCAACAAAACGGATGGCTTCAATTCACAGCACATCTAAATAAAGTTAATAAACACAGCAAAATGAAGAAAAAATAGTTACAATTTCATGGCACCTGCAAGATAGCAGCCATGAAATTGTAACTTCATTTTGCATGGTGCAAAAACGGCGGCGACAATATCCGCCGCTTCAAGTCCTGCTGCGCCACCATCTTAATCTCCATCACCGCCGCCTTCTTCTCTTCCCAGCTCCCGAGCTCTGCCATGGATTTGCTTTGTTGGATAATGTCGCCGGGCCACCAGCAAGTGAAGGAAGGAGAGAAATGACCAATTTGTCCCCATTATTAAATAATTAAAAATGTTTTGCATTTTTCCGGCAATTTTTCTTCGGCGATTTGGCCGGGAGGACCAAATTTGTTAAAAAAAGCATAGATAAAGGATTAAATTGTTAGTTTTAAAAGTTACGGACAGAAATTAACACACTCCCTATAGTCATAGGACCAAAAGTGTAATTTTCTCATTGTAATAATTATATGAGAAAGAAATAAGGTAGGAATACACTAAGAATTCAAATTTCATTATTTGGTAGACATGAATAGAATTACTATGAATTTCAATTATATTGTTTGGTATATATGGGAATTGGTCTAAAGAGAATAAGTAGTTGCAATTCATAGGGAAAGATGTAGGATTATTAAGAAGTGTAATTTGGTCCGGTCCTGATACTGCAACTTTTTTCTCATGTATATATTATAGAATTATAATTTCTCCCAGCAAAATTCTGATATTTTTTCACTTTTTGAAATTAAGCGAAAAAAGAATTGAGCAATTTCTTTCTACCAAACATGCCATAAGTTAAGTTTTGAATCATTTTTTTGGTAATAAATATGAGTGACGCCGTTGAGTTTGACTGATGGAAGAATGGAAAGCATTTATTCACGAGTGTTGTTAAGTTTAAATAATTAAATAATTTGTTGTAATTAAAATAAAGCATATTAAATTATTAGAAATTTCTATTAGTTAAAATAGTTATATGTAAGCTAGCATTAGCCATGTGCGAGTATGTCCCATCTTTGGTTTCTTTAAAAATAATTTAGCTAGTAGCCAATGTGTTTTGGTATCACTAACTATATAATAATATATGTATTGAATTATATATGTTTTTAATAATTAACTACAAGTATTTATTATTCAAATTTCAGCAGCTGAATCATGATTGGTTTGGGTACCTTATTATTATTATTATTATTATTATTATTATTATTATTATTATTATTATTATATATGCGTGTGTGGTACAGTAACAAAATTAAAAAAGTGTTAACTCTAGTGAAAAGAGTTTGAATCATTTAAGTGTGTTTAAAAGAAAATAATGATATAGTTACTGTATTAAAAAGACTAAATTGAATATCATAAAAATTGTGACGCGATAATATAAGTTCAATGTCTTAAAAAAAATTTCAACATCCTTACCATGTTGGTTTTACACGGTTATCTCTATATTTGTACATCCAATTCAACACGCTTACATTACGATATGATTAAAAAAATTGTATATGACATGAATGTAATATTATATTATTTCGAACACGTGCAATATTATACTTTCTTCGCAAGGTACTGAACGTGCATGTACAATATACGACGCACAAGTATTTCAGGTATATTTTTGAGAAGCTATTATATGATTACTCATTGTTATATATATTATAAAAAAAATGTATATGAATTGTAGGGCATATATTTCATGTGACTTTATGTTTTTAATTCTTACTTAATTATATGTAATAATTAAAAAAAAAAAGTGTGTATAATAAAATATTACAAAAACATATGCATGGCTTAAAGAATTAAGGGAAAGAGTACATGCATGCATCTCCACACACAAAATGATAAAATGCCTCCCTTGGGGAGATTTGAGGATCGTATGGCACTTATACTTATTAGGTTCATTGTTTTCAGCATATAATACCTCCAAACTTATTTTCTCCCAAACATATCTTAACAACCCAATTTTTAATATATGCTATGCAGTCCTGCTTACAAAGCTATATATATAACAATACCCTCGTGACTAAGTTGGTGGAGCATGATTCTCGTTACAGTAGGTCATATCCTCTCGGTCTAGCCTGTCACATAAGGTCAATCTTCCTAGTGCGACACCCACGGCTGGAAATTATGGAATTTCCGACCACCTGAGAGTGATCTTAAATCAAGTCGAAAGCAAAAAAATGGTCGGAAATAACAATAAAGGTTTTTCCGTATACCAAAAGTGGTCGGAACAAGACTTTCGACTTGATTTAAGATCACTTTCAGGTAGTCGGAAATTCCATAATTTCCAGTAGTGACATTTGAATAGTGACTGCGGGTTTCCCTCGTCACTAATAAAAAAAGAAACTATATATACAAATTTATTTATTTATTTATTTTTATATAGTTATGTGTAATATATATATATATATATATATATATATATATATATATATATATATAGAGAGAGAGAGAGAGAGAGAGAGAGAGTAAGTATCCCTTTCAATGTTTTCTTCAAATGCTACAAGAATTTTGTTTTTTTAGAGACAAAGATTTGTGGAATATATTATAGATGAACATATTTTGTAATAAATTTGCAAATAATGTATAGATTTTTGCTTGGGGCAAATACATTGTATTATATCAATGGAGTTAGTTTACCCTATTGGATTTTTGTTTATTACCCCACCAATAAGTTTTTAAAAATTTTATAATCAATTAAAATTTGTGTCTTAACGGATGAACTTACTTAACCCATTATGTTTTTTAAATATTATTTTACAATTTTATGAATATTATGGTATGTTATGAATTAAATTTCTTTACTATTTTGTTGATTTAATTGTAGGTTTCATTTTAAAAAGATTCTAAACTTTTATTTTCTGTGTCAACTTCTTTAACCCATTTAAAAATCGCGTGTGCATATTCGTATTTAAAATTCTAACTCGTTAACCTTAAAGAATTCTGTCCGTATTTAGTGTTATCGTGTCAACCCGTTAACGAATTCGTTCACATGAATTTGCAGGTGTAATTGAAATATGAGTAAATTATGATATGGGTGTTTAGTAAGCAAAGGTTTCATAGATCAATGGTGTTCGTTGGATCTGGAAAGTTAAAGTTCCAGCTATCTTTTGTTGACTAAAAGGATTGTTCTTTAAAGTTACAAAGTCTCACTCTCTCTCACCTACTCAAAACAAAAGAAAAAGAACTCTCAATCTATATATCCATTATTTAGATGATGAATGCAAATGATATGATTGATATATATTCCATTTAAGCTCTTCATTGCATTGGGATTTCTCCTAAGATTATTCAAATCTTCTACCATCCACCTCAATAAGAATATAATCCAAGAACCCAATCTTGACATCTGCTAATCATCTTTCAGATTCTTTCTGGTTCATATACAGAGAGAGAGAGAGGACTGGTGTGTCAGATTTTGGTCAAGGATAGACCCTAAAGCTAGCTGCTTTCCTCTCAATATATACATATATATTTTTTAACCTAAGTTTTCCAGTTTTGTCAAACTATAAGCGAGACTCAACGATAGATATTAAATCTCTAAGTGGTAAGGGACTGACCAAATGATTTGCTCCAATCACATGGGTGCGATCTCCCAACATCATGTTTAAGGGACAAGGTGCTGAACCACCATGCCAACCATGTTGGTTAGAAAGGTATGGTATTGAGTTCAAAGTTTGTGAATGGAATAGTAAGTGTTGGGAGAGATTCCTTATAATAACGTTGATCGAGCCCAGAAGACAGTATTGTATATATTAAGAAAAGTAGTACTTTTCGTCCATATATTTATATGATATGAAATTGTTAATTCTGGCCTTCTAATTTTTACGAGGTGACAGTTTTGACAGTTTTGGTTTCTAGACTTGTTAATAGAGATATCAATGGCTTACAATTACAAATTACAATTTTACCCCTATGTTGACTAACAAGGCTATTCAAATGTAATGCAAAAGTGATCAACTTTAACAATTTCGTTGGTGAAGGACTAAAACCCCGACCTTTAAGAAGATTTAAAGACAAGTAATGCTCACACTAACAATTGAGCGAATAAAATCAATATCTTATTTAAAGAAAAAAAAAACAGTAAAATATATTCTAAGTCCGGATCACACGGAAGTTGCTGTTACAAAAGGCCTTCTCTTTTTGTCCTGATTAATAAACCAGGCCTGCACATGGAAGAATATGCAACTGAGGCCTATAAGGAATATGGTGTGTTTCTGAAAGGAACATGATACCTAAATGCTGATATGATTCCCTAGTTGGTCACATATGCAAATGTTGTTAAAACTTATCCTAACTATAAATATATAACTATATATATTTCACGTATTTAGTATTAAAAAGATACTTAGTATTTCTTATATTTAGAATTTAGAATATGATAACCACTTTCTACTGTATGAGATATATGTATTTTACGAGTTGCTAACATAGGTAAGACTTTTATTTAAAAAGGTGATTCTAAAATATATTGTGTATATTTTTGTGTGTGACTGTGTGTATACACACACACACACACAAATAGTACAACTAGCACAATTGCATTGTCTCTATCTTCACTCGATACAACCTCATATTTACAAGTGATAGATACAATCTAGTGTCAATTATGCAAGAAATAGTTACATCAAGGACACATGATGGTCCTACTCAGACTAACATTATCCCAGCCAATGTACCCATTTGCAAGATGATGTGGCAAATCACATCATATATATATATATATATATATATATATATATATATATATATATATATAGAGAGAGAGAGAGAGAGAGAGAGGTTAATAGAATTTGCAATTTTGCAAATCTTGTACAAAAGCTACACAGTTTTGGGGCTCAATTTTGAAAATTAATTTGATTTGCAAGAATGTAGTGTGAACAGTAAATTATTTGCAAATTAGATGATGTAAAAGTGAAAACCATTTTCGAGAAAGAGAGATTTGCAAGGATAATGATAGCCGCCTTAATGAGCTGAGCCACAATGAAAGGACCCTGAGATGAGAGATTTCGCCTTTTGTGGACAACAAACAGTTACTTAATATTTATTGAAATGGCAAGTGTTTTCAACATCAACATCAACATCGACACACTTTAAAGCCTCAGGCCATCTAATGTGGAAAAAGAAAGGATGATATTTCTGAAAATAAGCCTTATTAAAGTTTGAAATACCTATTTCTCCACATAATTTTAATTAATGGAAAATGATTTGTGGGTGTGGGGGGTTGAATGATATATGTGGGGTGTTCTTGAAAAGAACAGTATACCTAAATGCTGATATTGATTCCCACTATGGCATTAATAATGATATGTGAAAATGTTGCCAATGAGTCAATCATAAGTGCCATAGCACAAATGGAATGTACTTGCATACATATACCCTAAAATCTAATCCATTCAATGGACAAAAGTAAACATCAAAAAATAAAGTTGCAGCTTCATGTTCAAAGCCACTTTTGAGACCTCAAATCACTCAAAAAATTCCATCTGGAGAGCAAAACTGACTGATGCAAATGTACCCAAAGATTCTAAGGTCCCCCTAAATCTATACTAGTACAACAGTTGATCACAGTCCACCACCTATAATAAAGTTGTATTGACACATCACCAAATCGATTGGGGCGGCTAAAAAGGCTCACTTGCATGACTCTGCATTGGCCTTCATAGTCCCCGCTTTTAGGTCTCCTTTTGGTGTTTTAGTTTGACTGTATAGTGTATACCCTTTGGAAGGGAAAAGTAGAGGAAACTAACAAACAACCTTAACATCACTCACAAATTCCATTTTGTCATGCTGAGTATTTCCCGTGTGCTCCAGATTCCTCGCCTTTTGCAAGGATACACTGCATTACAGTTATGCAAAATGAACTGAGCATTCTTGTGTCTGAATCTTATATGCGATGTTTGTATTTTGCAAAAGCGAGCACTTTAGACTTTATACCTGTGTGATTGTCATCGTTCTCTTGCGTTCATTTCTAACCAATGAACACATCCAGTATTTGGGGGAATTAACGATCCACAAATGTGGAGCACATCTACATCAAAACTGCAACCATAAAATTCCACATTAAATTGTGTCATTCTTCTTAGTTGAAGAATGAAGATATGTTTAGAAATTCCTTTTATGAATCATGGTATAGATGTTTTATAAAATATAAGGCAGATAAAAGTGAAAAAACAGGACAATCAGCTAAAAGATGAAAAGAACATAAATTTTAGTAGTAGGATGAGCATTAAGTCCTCAATATTCTACCGCCATATTGACTTGCATCAGGAATAGCAGTGAGATAGCACCACAAAATTTGCTTTTATACCCCAAATATTGAAGCAAAATAGGTAGTTAGGAAAAGAAAGAGTTTGCAACTGGTTAAAAACATAAAAAAGCAAACCAGCATTTACCTCTTGACTGAGAAACGTACTATTGTTCCCACTTTAATCTTATGTCTTTTATGAGATTTGCTGACAAAAACTTCCTCACCATGTTTCTGCAGTAAGAAGAAAAAATTAAATACAATCAAATCTTGCATCGTGTAAAACAGAAACAGTACTCCGTGTAAAGGAAAACATGGTTCTGGAGAGCTTACAATTTTATATTTGAATTTTCCAGACATATCCTCAACTGCAACCAAGCATGATGAAAATCCAAGAACAACTATGTGAATAGACTGTGGTGCTACTTTTACTACCTCTCCTTCTGGAAACAACAGAAATCAAATGACAAGATCACCAAGGTTAATCCAAAGGTTTTACAAATATAAGATAACTTTTCCCAAGTGTAAGACAACTGTCAATGCTCCCAGAAATCCAGGATCGAAATCTTTTGAGGGAAAAAAATGCACTGTGGCTATCAAATTTACAGATTGAAACTGTAAAAGATCACAATAAAACCAACTGAGACTACCTAAAAGCATATCCGGCTTTGGATTAAAAGTTAACAACTTTGCTTGAAATCTCACGCCAAAATATGGTTGAATCCCTGGAAGAATCTTTGCCAAGGTAATACGAAACTCTGGTTCATAAGCCAGTACCACACCATCCAAGTCTTCATTAAACCTTTAAAAGAGAAAGCGAATATGATGAAAAAAAAAACCCTTGATGATCAAATGCAACTAATAGTCTAAACTACTAAACACGCTTAAAGGCCATAAAACATTAAGAATGTAATCATCCATCCAGTTTCTTCTCATTTTCTTAGGATATTCATATAGATACACATTAAGAACAAAATATTGCATTCATTCACTTATAAAGACATGTATACTCACAGATATCTCCAAATAAGAAGTAACTACTGTTCCTATGAAATGAATCGAGCTCAAATATAATACTTGTCTGTCTATATATTTCAGGAAATCCTGGGAAAGAGAATGAACAATTACTTGAAAAGAAGATCGCTTAATTCACGGTATATAGCATCCTTTACATTCTTAGACTTGGAAGGGTGAAGATAAACCACTAAATTCGCATCGCGGTGCTGCAATGCCTCCATTGAATCACTCCAAAACGCGAGAATTAGGAGTGTTCTGTTGTGCTTGACAATGGCGGAAACCCTAGATAAACCCCAGCAGTTTTTCTTTCTGGAAGTCAACATTACTTCTTTGCATGTGGGCTTGAGCCCAATAGTTTGAGACAATGGGCTTTGTTAACCTGATGTCATTTGGGCTTCTCTTTAGTTCAATCAGTCGGGCCTAATTAAGTACTGCCCAAAATAATTTTATATAGAGTAGACAATTATTGTTGTGGGCAAATTATTGTGTCGACCATAATTAAAAATACATTTTTAATATATTAAATGTACATTATTTGTATACTGAATGTACATTATATAATATAATGTACACTCAGTATACAAATAATATACATCCCCTGAATACAATGTGTATTTTTAATATACTAAAAGTATATTATTTTTGTACTGAATGTATATTATTTTACAATATACAAAATGGTCCACACAATAATTATTTAGTTTGGTCGAGTTGAGCGAATTTTATATACAAAACAACATATCAAACATCGACAGCAAGATTTGAACCTGCGCAGGCAAAGCCCAACAGATTTCGAGTCTGTCTCCTTAACCATTCAGACATATCGACCCCTCATCAATTATGTCATATTTGATATACAAGAAGTATGCACTCACTATCCAAATGTGCGATTTAGGCCACTACCCGAATGGGCAAATTATTGTGTGGACCATAATCCACACAATGTTATATGAACCATAACAAAAAGTATATTTTTAATATACTAAATGTACATTATTTTTGTATTGAATGTACATTATACAATATAATGTACATTCAGAACAAAAATAATGTACATCCCCTGAATACAATGTACATTATTTTTATACTGAATGTACATTATTTTTGTATTGAATGTACATTATTTTACAGTAGACAAAATATGGTCCACACAATAATGATTGACCCGAATGTACCATCTGGGTACAACCCGTCTTGTGACCAATTTGCCACTTCAAATCCCTAGTCCTTACCTCTTGACACCCAAATTCAGCCAAATTACACCCGTAAAGTTTGACCCTTGCTCAGAGAACGTCTAGCCTAAACCTCTTTAACACGGCACACCTCTATAGAAGTCAATCATCTGACCTTACAGTTATATTAGCGATTTAGCGGTCCATTTACAAACAACCCCAACCTGCTAGGTTTTATGCAAGTATGCATTCTTCTAGGAGCAAGACAGATTGCATCAACAAAGTAAAATTCTAATTTTTAAGCTCCACCAAAAAACCACAATGCTCTCACACAAACATGAAGCTAGTTATGCAGACTATACATACAATACATTCCATTGCAGAAAGGGAAAAGAAGTTCTCGAGTAATAGACCGGGAATTGTATTCTTAAACAAAGCTAAGAGAACTATTTCATACAAGATGCAGATTTTAACAAACAAATATTCATATCAATGCAAAAAATTTCATGTTACAATGCTCTATTCATTCCTTGACCATTATAGAACAATTCTGAAACAATAATCGCAGATATTTCAAACTGTCTAAACTGTAGAATCATCATCATCATCCTAAAAAGTTTCGATTTTGAAAGCAACAAACACTGCATATCACTTATTATGTACTACAAAGAAATTCATGAGAATAATCTTAAAAATATGAAATCGAACAAATTATCATCACCTGCTAGCCATGCTATTTCTAACTCCCGGGCTTTCTATTGTCATCACGCTCTTACAGGTTTCTGCAAGACAGCAGACAAATACACCTCGGGCTTTCCCGACCCATTGTTCTTCTCACCCACAACCCATTTCAACTTCTTGTACCCAAACCGCTCAATCAACCGAGTTAAGGCCTTTTTCTTGTCATCACTAGAGCAGTAAAAGTTATCCAACCAGAACAATCCCCCGGCCCTCAGAACACGATCCATGTCGAACATCAAGAACTCCAATTTCTCGGGTTGGCCATTGACATCGAGTCCATTGCCCACGTGAACCAAATCGAACACATTATCGTAGAATGGGAACCGATGATCTAAGCTAAAGTAAAGCGGGAAAAGCCCTCTTGCAGCAATGAAGTCATTGAAAGGGGCATCAAGATTCAAAGTAGCAGTCACTACAGTGAAGCTCCTCTCAGCCATTCTTGCTGCAAAAGTTCCAGACCCTCCACCAATATCAAACCCTATCCTCATCCCACCCACCCCCATGGCAAGAACATCATCAATTAGGAAATCATTCTTTTGCCTTGCTTTAACATATCTCTCAGTCTCATACCCTCTAGCTATATCAAAACACCCAGCACAATCTCTACTCAGTTTCTTGGAATTCACACAGGCTAGATTCTTGCAAGAAAGCCCACTCCAAGTATAAATCTTTTCACTATTATTACTCCAAAGGGAAAGAGGAAAAGGGTTTAAATTTAAACCCACCTTGGGAATAGTCTTGGCAAAGCATCTCCTCCTGGGCAAAGGCTCACACCCCTTCAAGATTAGCTTCTGACCCAGACTCCAATCATCCGGGCAAGGCCCACTAACCTTATAGCTCATAAACTGGGACAACAAATCCAGGGATTTCTCACAAGAATGCCCCACAGAAGCCACCATTTTGGTAATCCCAGTTCTTGAATCTTTCCCCAGAGGGAGCTGATGCTGGAGAAGAAACATCCTCAGCTCAGCCGCAACATTGGGTTTGGAAAGATCGATGCTTTCGTACCCCAAAACCTCCTTCTCCATCCGGGTCAGCTTCCTCTGAGAAGACTCGATCTCCCTGAGGATCAAAGACACCTGTTCCGAGATGTGGGAGATGTTCTTGTGAGCTTGGTGGAGCAGAAGGTGGGACTGGTGATTCCTGGGCGAGTATGTGAAGGCATAGAGAGCAAAAATGTTTGTGGTGATTACTGAAATCAGCATAAGAATGTTCAGAGCTGAAGAGCAAAAGTACCCTCTCTTGAATCTTGCGGTTCCATCGCCTAATTTCAGAGATACAGCTCCCATCTCCACTCTCAAGGCTACTCAACAGGAGCTTAGAGTGACGAGCTTTAGTGTTGAAAGAGGAAAGTTGATTGTAACTTGTGAGATTATAAAAGATTCCAATTGAAAAGATTTACGAGATTAAAGAATATGAGGAGGCACGATCATTGAGTTGTACTACAGTATCCACTTCTTGTAGATCTATCAAGAAAGTATACATTTTTGTAGAACCTTTATAAAAATCAAAATAAATTCTTTTTAAGTAAATAAGAGAAGAGTATGGTAAGTCCGGGGCTAATTCAATTAATCATCTTAAATTTTAGATTTTTTGTGGACAGAGTAATAATATAACATGTCAACATAAGAGGTGGAAATTGGGGACGGAGGGCTTTGGGGCTTAAGTTTAGTGATATTTATGCATCTACATCTATGATTTTTTTAGAGCATCACCATTTATAAATTTTGAGTAAGTTTTTGTAAAAAGTATGATTTCAGCAATTACATTTGTGGATTTTTGGGATTTTTCAAATTTAAAAATCAAAGCTTGAGTTTCAATATTGATGGGATAGGGAGTTTTATACTTTTTTTTTTTTTTAAATCCGGGAAGTGATATATTTTTGTGGGGTCCACATTTTGAGAAATGGAAACAAAAAGAAATGGTTGTCTTCGCGTGCTGGTGACGCAGGCGCCCAGCCAGGCGCATGCAGTGCATGCGCCCGCTGGTGCGTTACCTGCTAATTTTTTTTTTTTTGTGTTTCCGTGTCAAATTACTTTTTTTTTTTTACTTTTTTTTCTCTTTCCTAGTGGCGCCTTAAAAACCACAAAAAAAAAAAAAAATCAATGCTATTGGTGATGCTCTTAGAGCAACCCCGAAAATGGATTGTGCACGGTTTTTTAGGAAAAAAGACAAGGTGGATGAGAGAGAAATAGGAGAGAGAATGATTGAGGTTGTTCTGTTATTTAGGAGATTTCGTCTGTGGTGGGGCCCGTTGTATTAAATAAACAATTGCAGCCAAGGTTGCGTGAAGGCCAAGTAGCGCCCAGTTTGGCATGTTAATTAAAGCTGTGACTGTTTTTTTTTTTTTTTTAATTTAGTTTTTATTTTTTTTCTCCCTTTTTAATTTCCACCTCATTTTTTCTTTCCTAATCACACTTACAAAAACTCTTAAAAAACCATACCAAAATCTTAAATATTGAAGATGTCCTTAGGTGAGGTGGAAAAAAAAAAAAAAAAAAAAAAAAAACCTCCGTACTACATTGATTTTTGGCAAAAGTTCTTTTATTCAAATTTTCCTTAAAGGTAATAATTAATCTCACGCTTCGATTAATCGATTTAGTTAATTTGGTCCATTAGATAAAATTTTATTATAATTTTACATTTGGTGATAAAATGGTTTAGTAGTTGGTGGCAAGTAGTAGGTGGAACTTTACTATACAATTCTCAAATAATCATTCAAGTGAGTAAAATACAACTTTTGTTTGTTCAATTTTTAACACATTTTCGATCAGTTTGTCGCATCATAAGTAACAAGTAGTGAATGAGGTTTCCATTGTCTTATAAAAAAAGGCAATGACTTATGTGACAAGTAGTGTACGAGGTTTCCATTGTGATATAAAAAAAGGCAATGACTTATAAGGAAGCATGGGAGAAAGAAATGGCAATATAACAATTTAGGATATAATACTTATAACCAAAAAAAATAAAAGAAGAAATGAATCCAAGGTCTATCACCTCGCAAGATTAGCGAATATAAGGAAAAGCTCGCAAAGCTAGTAAACATTTAACTAAAAAAAATAAAAATGACTTTTTTCACTTAAGAAGAAGAAGAAAGGAAAAGAACCAAGGAATAAAAACATTGCAGATTTGCAGGGCTGCAATGGCCGCAGACAAAAAATGTACATGGAGGAAGAAATGCTAACAGCCACAAACAACTATGTCCCAGTAATCTCCCTATCCATTTTCATTCTCTTTGCATTCTGCACTTCCGGCAAGTTCGTGACCCTCTGCTGCGATGGGGCGTCGTGCAAGTAGGAGCAGTTCACTCCATGTCGGCATCCCCTCGAGCTGTTAAAATAGATGCAAGGCTTCATGATCTTGGGTTTTGAATCTCGCGATCTGGAGTTAATTGGCGGCTGCTGTTCTTGAACTGAATCGAGATGGTGATTGTTGCTCCGGCTGCTGAATGGTGGCGGTGGGGCGTCTTGTCTTTCTCCTCCGTGTTGCTGAATAAGGCTTTTGTAATAGTTTATGTCCTTTGCGGGGGCAGATGATGAAGTTGATGGCGGCGGGGCTCTGACGGATGAAGTTGATGTCGAGAGGACATCGGGCATAGGAGGAGGACGCATGTTGGGGAGGGATCCTATCCTGCCGGGAGGAGGGTTGAAAGGGGCGGTAGAGGTACCTGGGATAGAAGGGGGACCGAGGTCTGGTCTATTTCCGTGAGCCGAGGATGGATCTACTCTACTGATGGGAGGTGGCGTTGGAGTTGAGAAGCCGAACCCCGGTGGCCTCATATTCGACATGTTCTGCAAGGCGGTGGCCGGCATATTATGTACACCCATGGCTGGCGGCATGCTCGGTACGCTAGCGGCAGGCCGAGCTTGTGTTGTGGCGGCGACACCTGGCATGCTCTGCAACGTCGTGCCTCCTCCTCCTCCGTGATGCCTAACCAATTGCCCAATAATTTGCGGGTCGCCCAGGATTTTCATGAGCAGTTCGCGGTCAATCAGATTTCCCTGGTCGTTCGCCATTATCGCACCCAAGGCCGCTTGTGCTACCGCTAGAACATCCGGTTCCAAGCTAGGTGCAGCAGCTCCGGTAGCTGTAGTTCCATTCACGGGAAGATTATTACTCGCACTCCGGGACGAGGCAGCTCCCGCCTCCATTAGCTGCGAGACTAGATTGGCATTTGGAGCCACGGCATCTTGTGACGTATCTACGCCATCCTCCTCCTCGATAGGAGTGATTGGAATCAGAGGAGTCTGTTGATCATTGTGAACAAAGTTTTCCGCCGGTACTGAAGGGCTGTGCAAGGAGACACAAAACCAACGCTTTAATTAAAAATACAGCCCCAGAAAATTCAATCACCGAAATGGAATGAGAGAAGAAGCAACGTACTTTAGGGGAATAGCAGATGGGCGAGGATAAATTGCTTCGAGCACTCTCATCTCCCGTTGTTTTTGAACTTCCACATCTTGGCTCTCCTCGCCAGCAACTACTCGCCAATTTGGTTCCAATATGAACTGTTAAAAATAGGGGAATAACAATTCGTAAGCAACTAATTCAGCCAATTCATTTGCTATTGTAAAGCCACAGCAACCCTTAAATTAGCTCCCAAATTACATAACATAAAAGCGAAAGAAGGAAAAAAAATTACAAGGTTTTGCTTGAAAATTCAAACATTGTAGGATAAGAAACTGCAAAAAGCTTGATAAATAACTGTTCTCGAAATCTACAACTTAATGGTTTATAAACAGACATCCAGTTGGTAACTCACCAAAAATATCAGTTGTAAAATCTAAGCTAGTCTCAAGCCTAACTTCAATTCAAAATGAATTGACTAAAACGCACCCACTTTTTCATCAAGAAAATTAAAACGCCAATTAGCGATGCTCTCCAACAAAACGACTTAAATCAAACTTCATGAAACTACTAGGACAGAGACACTCACAGTATGAAAAATATCATCCATATGAAAAGATACTATCATTTCGGAGTATTATTTACACAGTATTGTGGAGTATAAACATTCTAAATCTAAATTCATCTTTTCTTGGAGAAAGTTATGAGATTTTACAGCATGATGATTTATATATTATGTTATTTGGATTTTAAAAACAAAAATTCGCAGTTAAACTCACTCTTGTAGGAAGTTCCCATTTGACAAGAGGAATTTGAGCTAACTTAGTTCTCCAAAGGTTTGAAGCCTGGGCTCCTTCGAAACCTGGAGGTAAATTATCATCAGATGTAATACCACTTGTTTGCGACGTCCATGATGCTTTTGCTTGGAGGTGATCCTGAGCTCCCACTCCAACTTGCGAAGGAGATTCTTCAGATAAGAAAAGCCTTACCTATTGAAAGTAAAATGTTTTCAATTAACCATTAAAAGAAGGCACTTCACTTGGATTAATATAAAAATCTTTAACATTAAAAAAAATGATAAATATAAATAATTCATTAATAAATGCATAAAATCTATATGTTTTACAAGTATGATACAGCTACAAACAGGTCCAAATTGGTAATGGGACTACAATGAATGGATTAGATACCATGAAAAGGTCAATTCATCAAAAGAGTACCACAAACAGCTTATGAAAACTAAAATAGACAACCATCATTTCAACGAACATCCAAGGGATGCAAATTGTTGCCTTTTAGCAGACAGTCAGATACTGGTTTTGCATTTTTTTACCTTTTTTTTTCATTTTTTCATGGAAGTAAATGCAAAGGCAAGTCTTAATGAAGTAAACATGTCCCTTTTAAGCTTATGAACATCAATATAATCACCACATATAATCCAAACCCAGCATATATATATAAACAATTAATCTGTTTTAGTATAAAAATGCATACTTCAATGAAAAGATGAGTCCATCATAAACAACTAAGTCCCTTGTGGCACTAAGAAAAAATAGTTTAAGGATAGTATAGGTGCTCCAATTTGAGGGGAGTCTAAATTTCAGGACGCTATAATGTTATGTTCTCACGTCACGTGCAAGAAAACGTAAGGAAAAATGAAGAAAGAATAATAGTTGAAAAAGAAAAAGAAGAAGACACTGGGTTTGCTTGAGACTCAAAATTCCCTTAACTACCTAAATTAATTCAAAGATTAAGAATAATAAGTTAAATAACTATTTAGTAATTTATTAATATCTAAACTATGTAATATAATAAAATAAGACTTCCTAAAGTATGTATCATATAAAATATCACTAGGCACTGAAAATGCTTTCTTAATAACAAAAGCAGCACATAAATTGCATAAGACAAGGTTATCAACAATAAACTAGGTGTGAGTGTGTGACTAAACTTTAGCACAAGAGACCAAGAGGGCAAGACAATTCTCAAACAACAAATAGAATTAGGAACATGCATTAGGAGAAAAATCACACACAACATAATCGATGTACCCAAATCATAAAATAAACTTCAAGAAACAAAAATGTCACTATGCTTGAAAGTTATGAAAACCAGATATCCATATCTGTCAACCAATGATGTTTTAGGTCACCTCTCACTACTGAAAAACATAAAACGTAAACATATTCCATCATATTTTGTATAGAAATTCTAGCACTTCTTAAGATGCCTCTCCTCATTTAGTTTGTCCTTTCCTCATGAAGTTCAAAATATAGCCTTAAAACACCCTCAAGGCATGTTAGAATTTACAGTGTTTTGGTTTAGCACTCACATCATTCATCATGTAATGGCACAACCCCAATCTACTCTCAGTTTACACTTCTTCTCATGTAAATTAATTTTATGACCAATTTAAACTTAAATATACTTGTCAACCATTATCTCATCCATTTTGACCCATGCTAATTACAATAACTGGTTTTGATTTATAGGCCTCAACCACACTCCCAAAATGTCAATCACCACATGGCAATGGCAATGGCAATGGCAAGAGTGATTACTTTGTTTTTTTTTTTTTTTTTGAGTGCTAATAATCAAATATAATATCAAGCCATTAACACATCCAAACTACTGATACTTTATTTGTATACTACATCCCTTCATTCACTGTGACATAATGACAAATATGTCCATGTTATCTGTTAATTGTTTCGAAATTAAGTTTTTTATTTTTATTTTTTAAAAAAAAAAAAACTCCTCACAAAGCTCTTGAGAATGGCTCACATTCCATGATTCCTAAACTAACAGAAACATCATTGTAGCTCCAAAACTGGCTTTCTACAGATGTTCTTGGAGCTTTTGAAAATAATTCATGAGATTAGTACAACACTCTTAGGAAAATCAACTTGAATTTATTTCTTTTAATTACTCTGTGTTGACTCATTTGATTCACTTCTGCTTCTTATTGATTAGGGAGATTCTACCAAGTTGGAAATTAAATACAGACCATGCTTGCTGCTTCATTGCTTTGATTAACATCTCAACCAATTATTATCACTTCACACAGTTTACATTATTAACTAGTTAATCAGTTTGATCAATGTGTAACATTTTACAAAGAATATTTGTCAATTTAGCCGAATTACTTTTGAGTTTTGAATTGGCATAATTGCAAAACTTTATTAATCCAATTCTCAAACTATAAGTGCTGCTGTCCAGTGACAGCCTACAACAACTAATTTTAAATAATTCATAAAGATTTACAAGAACCCCGTTCACTGACTTCATTTTAACCCAGAAAATTTCAATTTTTTTTTTTTCAGAATTCACAGGTGTAATTAGACCCCCCAAAAAAAAAAAAAATCTAATGGAACGAGAAAAATTTAGAGTTTTTATAAGATTTACCTGACAAAGATTTACATCTGAAGCCCAAGTAACCCGTTTTGGATTCAGCAGTCTTCGCATATTTAACAAATTCAACTAATTCGATTCGATTGATGATTGGATTCTCAAACGATAAAAATCTAAAATCAATCGCCGAATATCGATTTATTATCAAGGTTGGTCTCCGGCTATAATCGAATTCCAAACAAACATACACAAACAAATTCACCAGTATAAACCTTAAATTTATCCGATTTTGAAGCAACCGATAATCGATTCAAATGTATGTTCATTCATCCATAAACGATACATACAAAGCAGCGAGACGAAGCGGAGGGGAAGCGAGGAAACCCTAGATCCTCCGATTTTCTTTTTTTTTTTTTTTTCTTTTCTTTTCTTTTTTTCCGCTGCAACCCTTTCTTCACAGTATTTTCATTTTGGGGGAAATTGCGGTATTTATACTCAGATGTTTCTAGTGATTCTGTATCATTGTAGGACTGTGATTCTGCTCGGTTGAGGAGACAGACGCGCGTAGGATGCGCGTGTATGGAGATTAGGTTTCAATCTTTGACCCGATTCGAATTAGGACCGCAGTCTTTCGGAAAAGATGGAATGAAACGACTGCTCATTATTATATGATGACTAAACTACTTTTAACTACCAATTGGTCCGGTTTTAGTCTTGTGTCTCTTGCTCCTTTTCCGGCCCATTCAGGCCCATATAAGTTTTTGCGGAGCGTCATGCTGTACACCCGTGTGCACCATTGCACACGTTACAAAAACGATGTCGTTTTGACGTCCGACTTTAATATATATATATATATATATATATATATATATATATATATATATATATCAATTTCGATTGTCGTTAACGGTGTTATGTTGTGCATAATTTGAATTGTATAGTCATTTATTTTGGATATATAGTTCAAATTAGGCACAACATAACACTGTTAACAGCAATCAAAACTGATTTTTTTTTTAAGCCAGACGCGTCGTTTTTAATCAAAACGATGTCATTTTTACAACCGTGTGCACCATGCAGGGTGCACACGGTTGCACGGCATAATTTGTGACTTTTTGCCAATTGAAACTTGGTTTAAAAATAACTTTCAGATTTTGTATTTATATTTGACACATTTTGTACTTGCAACTAATTGTTTTTGCATTTGTAAACAAATTGAAGGCACATGTTATGTGTTTGCAGTTAGTATATATATATATATGTGTGTGTGTGTGTGTGTGTGTGTGTGTGTGTGTGTGTGTCGTTAACAATTGATGTGTCAATAGTTATCATGTTATGTGTTTGTAATTATTATGTGATGTGCCTTCAATTTGTTTATATGTACAAAAAAATTGTTAATTGCATGTACAAAATGCGTTAACTACATACACATTTTTTGTACCAAGACTATGAACCCATGGTATAACGATTCATACCGTGGATAATGGTTTACATAGTAAGATGAATTATTAATGTGTGTTCATTTTAATATATTATCATGTCAATTCGTGTTCATTTTTAATGTATTATAAGTTTATTTTGAACTGTATACTACATGGTTGGGTGTTTTTTTTTTTTTTTTTTTTTAAGATATTTAAAAATTAATATTTTAAAAAATTCCATGTAGTCCCCAAGTTTGGGTCTCAAACCCACCTCATTGTATTGTACATTTCCGTGATTAATTAATAAAATTACGTTGCTGCCTTTAAAAAATAAAAAATCCATGTGGCACTTGGTAACCGAATAGTAAAGGGTTTTTATTAAAAAAATAACAATAATAATTGATGAATTACATAAAATTGATTAATTTAGTGATTTAATTACATTTTTTAAAAAAAATTCAATGACTCAATTATATTATTGTGTAGATAACCTATTTTAGTATTATTCATAATAATAATAATTTACCACATTGAGGAACCATGGGACAAAGAACCGTAACAAGAATTGAATAGATTTGAATCAATAATACACGAAATGGAAAATCCTTTACATTGTCTTGACCCTTGGACCACAAGTGTCTCAAAATCAAATCCAGTAAACCATATAAGAAACTCATGACAGAAGAAAATGAATAGTAACAGACACTAAACATGGTAACTGGTAAGTCATTTACACGAAAACTTGATCTGTCTACATCTATCTCCACCATTGATACAATACTCCTGGCAACCATACCAGCAGATTTTTGTTCATATAGCACAGCACTGGTTGCTTTGGAGTTTGGAAGCCTGCTGTATTCACCTCTGCCACTTTCGCTCTGTGGGGGAAGGAACGAAGAAACATTTTCAGAAAGAAAGCCAAAGATAACAAACTAAGCATAACTAAATCCTTTAGGCCAAGACCTTGTGGTCTAATGGCACCAAAGTTAGACCACAAGGTTGCACTCCCATATGGAAGGTCGTGGGTTCGAGCCTCAGTGGAGGCGGCATTGACTCTTTGTGCTTCAGTAGTTCAGTAGGTTGAGAGAGTAGAGTAGTTATGAACAGATACTATATTGTAATAGAGTCAGTAGCATTTGAAAACAAAAAAAAAATCCTTTAGGCCTATGTTATATGATGGGACAAATTGATATGAAAAGTAGTGGCAAAAACACAAGCATGCCTTAAAAGTAGTTTCTTAACTCTATACAATGGTAAGCTATCCATAAAACACTATTGGCTTATTGCAGATGGCGGGATCCATATGGACCAGAAGTCCAAGAAAAGAATCAACTATTGGTAATCAATGCCAGGAAATAAAAATAGAACAGTTGGAAAATAAATAAATAAAATAAAATAAAATAGTGTTGGGTAAGTTTTTATAGGATTGGAATAGTTATGTTGGTGCAATGTAGAAGGGGTATAGAATGGCTATTGAAACTCTTTTTAGCACAATACTTCTAGCAAAAGTGAAAAGTACACTAGCTATAATCATAACAGAAGCGTAAGAAAGTTTAGAAAATACCATGAGGGGAATGAGTTCCATTTCCCTTTGCACCAGGTTGTGCTTGAGACAGAGAACGCTGGATGCGGGGTGATCCCTGCCTTCCATTTGAACCAGATAGAGAATGTCTCTTCTTAATGTATGCATCCTTGTTGTGGGCATCTGGACTAGATCTTGGAGAACTGTTTAAGACAGCTTTGGCTCTTGCGGATTCTGTTGCCTGCATGTAACTTGGGAGGGAATTGCTACTACTGCTATCTCTTGGTTCCTCATCCACATTGTCACTTTTTGTTGAACCAAATGAACTCTGCCGCTTCCCACTTTTGTGATCCTTAGATGATTGTTCCGAACTATTTGTGCCAGCATCATGATTAGAATTTGAAAGGACTCTTTTTCCAGCAGATGAAGACCCATGCTTGGGATTTGATCCACTTTTTTCACTTTTGATTTTATTTTTTATTGATGCCTGAGCAAAAGATTTTGCTTCAGATTCAGGGGCAGTTACATGGCTCGTTGGAGATGCCTCAGTTGACTTACATACCTTAGAGCCCGTCTGCACATCAGTTGCATTTGGTTCAGGTGTCAGCTCTTCAGGTAAATCTTGAGCAACCACAGTATCTGTATGCCCGTTGTCCTCTTTGCTACTGTCAGGTCTCTCTGGCTGAACAGAGTTAGAAGGGGCCATGTCCACACCTTTGAAACTCTGATTATTAGCATCAATATCCAGGTTTTCATTGCTATTATGGTGATGTATAGAAGTATCCATGGAACTATTTACTTCCTGCTCAAACTCATGAACCCCAATATCGTCGCTATCTGGTGAATCAAGTGTAGAAGTAACAGATAGTTCGGTGCCACATTCTGAGCCTCCTACTTGAACAGAACTGTGAGCATCAGAATTCTCTACTGGGTTAATCTCCCTTTCCCTGACAGTATTGTTGTTGGTGGATGATATTGTATAGTTACAAGATTCAGTATCTTGGAAGGACAAACTAGTTACTTTTGCTTTATTGGCTGCTGAACTCAGTTCTTCAAATTTTGACTGAGCAGCAATGAATGCAGGATTACTTGATTTTCTTGAACCAAAAGAAAAAGTTCTCCCCTCAGGTTGCTCAGGGGCAGCTCTCTTCAAGGAATTCACTTGTTGCTTATTCTCAGTTTCATTCTTAACAGGGATAGAACCATACTCAACGTTTGGCTTCATAACTGTTCCTGTAAATGGAACAGGAAGAAAGCTGAAGTTTTCTCTTGAAGTTGTTTTACCAATATCCTGAGGCAGAGATTCCTCCAGTTTAAAACTAAAAGAAGGTGATGCCAGCTGGTGTGCTTGAAAGTCTAAGCTGTCAGCATCATAAGTGATCAAATTATCTTCACTTTCAGATGGCACTGCAGATGTCTCAATACCACATCTGATATCTGATGATTCAAAGTCACTCTCAGATTGAGCTACAGTTTCTATGAAGTAGTCAAACTGTTCAAGCATTTTCTTCTCCTGCTTCTCACCAGATATTTCAGTATTTAGTGATCCCATTGGTAAAACAGACATCCATCTCTCCAACCATTTCCATGCTGAGTCAGATTTGGAAGGATCACATTTGATATTAATAGTTTTGGTCCTTGGAAATGATTTGAGAAGCTACCCCAAAAAAGGAGAGCAAGTCATTTTCGGGAAAAAAAAGAAGAAGCAAACAATGTGTTGTACCCTACTTGTAACTTGCAATAATGCAATGCAATTACAGACTACACAGTTTTACCTGGCAAGCAAACTTATTATTGTTGAGAAGCTTCTCAATGGATGTGTATGTGACTTGTGGCTTTCCAACTGAATTTTCCTTTCCCTAAAAAAGGGGAAAGCATCAGACACAAAACATGTAGGTTAAAGGAAATATATATCAATAATAATAATAAGAGACATCTTCCCCATATGCAATGGAGTGTTTTTATATTTATTCTCATTTTTATGCAAAAAAAAAAAAAACCACAGGTTATTTGTATTCCTCGGAAACCCCCGCCCACATCACCATTCAATATTTTTTGGGGCCGCTATTGGCCAAACCCTATAAACAGACACACATATATAGATCCATGAGTATGTTTTCAGCTTTTCACAAGCTCACTCTAAGCCAATGCAGAGGTATTTGTTTCCCATGTATAATAGTCAAATTGAAGAATGTTCATAGTCATAGTTAAGCAGATTTTTGACTAATCAAAATGAAATCTCAGATTACCGAGGTTTTTGAACCATGATGGTTTTTCTCATGCTTCTCATCCCGTTCTATGCAGCGGTGAGCATAGCGAGCTCGAACAAGACCTTGCATTTTGACAATGGCTTGAGCACAACGTAATGTTCCCACAGCATGCCTGCGAACTAGATGTCCACGTACAGCAGCTTGCAGTTTGATCACATGCTTATGCTTCATTAAGACCTTTTTAGCCTAACAAGTAACAAGAAAGATAATCAAAACCAATATTGTCCATTTTGTTCAACCAATTGAAATATTTACTTTTGTTTCTAG